AAAGAATCTTATTTAGCCTGTGTGTGTGATTCAACTACTTCTTTTGAAGAGACTGAACCACCTGTCTGAGGAATGTCTGTATTTCTGGCCATTCTAAAGGGCAGGAGCAAAACCCTTCTCAACTTCTCATATATACAGTCTTGACATATAGAGGACTTATTAAATATTATCTGGAGTACTAACAGAATATCTATAGCACCTGTAGTTTAGATTAGGGGTTTCATAACAGCATAACAGACAGRTACCATTTGGCAGATACAGATTCAATCACATCTCACAGAAAGAACCACAGACTGCTATGTAAGAAGACTATGTAMATAGACCTAGGTCTTTTTTTCTTTTTTCCATCAAGTACTCCAAAATTTAACACCTATTTAGGTCAATGCCAAAGCCATTGGAGTAGTTTACTCTCCCAGTGGAAAGACAAAGAAGTTCTACCTCCTATTCCCCAAAATAGAGAGCCTCACCCTATATTCCCCAAAAGAACAGAATAAACAGTAGAGGAAGCAATGCCAGCACCAATCCCTGATGATTATGAACGTTTGCAAGTCAATATGAAAAAGTTTTATAGCAATTTGACTTCAACAATGAGAAATCTTGCAGGAGCAGAAGATGGACAGATGGAACAAGGCACTAAAAGTGTATTCTTCTTAAAGTTTCTCATACGCAACAGAACACGGGTTAAGTATAAAATCTAATTCACTATATTTTCCCATAAATGTTTAAGTCCCTTTCCAGGCTTGTCATGTAACATTACTGCAATAAATACAATTCTATTCAGCATTTATTTTTTAAATCTTGACCAGGTGAAAATTACACTTTGTTCTTATTGAAACATTAATGTTTACATTTGAAATTAGCATTTTCTACAGATTTCACTGAATTCATAATTTAAAATATAAAATAGAAAACATTTAAATACGGAAATACTTTTCAATAATATTATTTTGTAAAAGCTTATTACTGTTGACTTTTTATTATTAAAGGACCAAAAGGGAGAGTATATAAAAGCTAACGATCATTCCTGTTATTCAATGTAAATATCTTTGACTGAAACCATTAATTTTTGATCCTGTCCAAAAGATAAAACATTAATTTATTTGCTTCTTAAAACCTGAAGGTTAAACCCTCCCGAATCTACCAGCAGCAGCTGCATAAAAAAAAAAGACTCAAAACTGTCAAAGATACAAAATTTGAACTCRCTAGAAAAATATTCAGCCAGGTATAAATGTAGGAAAAGGTTGAAACACTCCTGARTTAAATAAAGCTTAGAAGTAATTTAACCTATTCACCTATAACAAATAAAATGTAAAATATTTTAATAATGTTGTGGAACCAGAAGCTGCCATTGTAAATTCAGCAAGAGGCTGAGCTGCCTGGCTAGGTGCATCCCAGCCCCACGGCTGTGACTCCACTTCCACTTTCTTGGCGCCAGCTGCAGTACTTCACTGCAAGTGCATGGGAGGTGGGCACCAGCATTGACAATGCAAAATAGTAAATAATACACCATTTTCATGCCTACAGTGAAACATTTGCTCTACATGACATATTAAGGTTCTGGATTATCTTTTCCAAGAAAACCTAGTGGATTGGTTCTTGGTGAGTCCCAAAAAAAGTTTGTGGGAACAAGCACTTTACAAAATCCTTCCACAGCTATATGCCCAGGATATACCACATTCCCATTTAAATATGCATTATTGCACATGACAAAACTTTTTCATCAGTAAACTGATGAAAGAAATGTCAGACACGCAATTCTGCTCATGTCTTTAGGTTCTTATTAAAAACCTGAAGTCCTCAMGGACACTCATGTGTGTAAGCACCTTACACACTTTAACACTTCAGGGAGTTCATCTGCACCATCATTCAGGCACACAATGAATGTTCAGATAATCTGTAATTCTTGCTGACCAGAAAGTAACATATCAACCCACAAAGAAGATATATTTCTATATTTTATACATGTATATTTTTATATATAAAGATTCAAAAGCAACAAAATGGTGCACTTTCTTATGCACAGATTATCTGCACAGATTTTCTAAAAGTGTCAAAGATTTGGGTCACCTATATGCACACTGACATCTTAAACAGTTTTTAAATGCAATATGAAACTTTGTGTTTTAGTTACTTGAGAATCCAGCAGATGGCACTAAAGGTTGCATTTTCAATCTGCCTTCCAGATCAATTTAAATGATTTTATCTCATAATCTTAATCATCAAATATAATATAATACAAATATTATTATATCTTGTGATGGATCCATCTTACCAGAAAAARTGCATTCTCCTAAGTGATAAAGCCATAAGAAATCCACTGGCAGCTATGGCATATACGAAAAAAGTTCTTTAAAAATACAGTACTTTCCCCCATTCACACATGCCGTATATACACATAATCACACAGAGCTCTTTTTTTTTATATTATATATATATATATATATAAAATCATTGATACTTCTATCAAATTCTTTTCTTAGTATTTTTTCTTTTACCTCAAATAAAACAATAAAGCACAAGTCAAGAATCAAAGCTCTATTTCTATGAATTTCTAGGCAGAGGAGTCCTTCCTTACTAACAAGCTAGCACAGTTTCGAAACCCAAGGAGTTCGGGCACTTTTTGAGTTTAGTGTGTCCGCACAGGCAATTGTTAGATCTAAAAAGTGCAGGTAAACTTTAAGCATCTATGTAGAAGCTGAAAGCAGCATCCTAAATCTTGCAAGTACCAAGGTGCCCGGATGATTCTGGGGGTCCCAGCTCGTGCAGAGGAGCCTATTGAGAGCAACAAGACACCTTAGGCCTACGTTGGGGCCTAAGTCCCACCATGACATGTTACTAGGAAAAGCTGCCAGGTTGTGATGGGTTCAGGGAACATGTAGTTTAAAGAGGAAAGCCAGCATATACAACCTCAGCAAGATGCAATTGCCTGTCTGAATAAGGCAAGAGGGGAGTTTGGGGTGAATCTAGCACATGTTGACTAGAATAGCAGC